CCAAAGAAGGATAACTACTCACGCGCCTACATAAGTACACGCACCCGTTTTTTTTTTATTATAGAGCTACAATAAACCACATTGCTTGGTTAATGGTAAGTGGTTAGTAATCATTGAAAAAATACGTGTCCAATACTTTTTGCTGATCTTCACTCATCATTGATTCTGTAAGTTCAAAAACTGAATCTTCGGTACTTTTACCTGACCTGAATCCATATTGATTTTTTGATAAGATACTGAAATTGTCTAGAAATAGTTGAAGTCTTTTATTAAGAATTTTCTCTAATATTTTGGAGAAGGTAGTCAGTATGGATATGACCCATGAGACCCATGTCTATAATTGCTAGTATCAACTTTGTCTCCACTTTTGCAAATTGCGCGAACGACTGCTTTTTTGAATACCTTGGGAAACACTCCATTGTTTAAAGAAAGATTGAAAACGTGAGTAAGAACAGGAACCAGTACATGTCTAGCAACTTTAACTAGACTGGCAGAGATCCCATCCCAACCCTCTAAACATTCGTTTTTGAGGCCAAGAATGATTTGCTCAATTTCATGGTCATCAGTTGTAAGTGGCGCCATCGAGTTTGGTTGAGTGACCACGCTGGAGGGACAGTTAGGGACATCATGAACAGTTGATCCATTGATCTGTGAAGCCAATTTTTTTCCAATGCTTGCAAAATCTCTTATCTATTGGACAAGTCCGTCCGTCCGTCCGTGGTGCTGTTTCTGCGGCCAAACCGTAAGAGATAGATAAAGAGAATGTTTAAGTTATAAGTTGAGAATAGTCTGATAAGACTACAAACCGGATGTGAGTAACGTAGCACTTCCGGTTTTCGAGAAATCACGTGATTTCTATTTCAAACGAAACCACACAAAATCTCCGAAGTTCTCAATTAATTAAATACTTTTTTTTTTTGGTGAACATTTGGTTCACTGGTTTGCTAGTTTTTATTAATAGTGTTTACGGCTAGAGAGGGGTTTTTATTTAAAGAAAGAATTTCATTAGATGATGATTGGCTATTGTTAATATATGCAATATTCTTTATAAGCTTCCAAGTAGTATTTGGGTTCTTACTATTTTTTTTAAACTCATTACATTCATAGTCTCGTTTATTTTTTTTTAACATATTGTTGCAAAAATTTCTATATCTAATGGATGATATCTTGAGAATACTATTATTTGGATCTTTTTTTGATCGAAGGCAAAGCCTATCGCGATGACGAATGCCAGGGATTAATTATCCTTTTTCTACTTGGTATAACGACAACTGATGAATTCCTAACAACCACTGAAGAAACTTTTTAACAAGTTTAGACGCAGCGTCCTCGGCACTATTAGAGTTTAATACATCTGAGAAATCGAGATATTCGAGTTCACTTACACATGAATCAAGGCACAGCCTTTTTACCTTTTGTGGAAAGGTGTTATTTCTCAAGCATCTGCTCATATCGCAGCTGACCAGAAGAGGGGCCTGATCCGTAATATACGCATCTAAAACTAATGTGGAGGCACGATTTTGGGTTTTAATGATGACATGATCAAGGCATCTAGACAATCTCGTAGGTAAAGTGTGGGCAGGTAGTAAACCATGAGAAGACAAGACCTCTAAATACATATCTGATGATGGGTCTGAACTTTGTGTTGAAATATTAATATTTACATCTCCCAAAACCACTATGTTTTTAAATTTATGCAAAGATTTCAGCGTTAAGTCTAAACTATTTAGGAAGTTTTCAACACGTCTATAAGAGGGGGAACGATATAAGGATACTATTGCTAATTCATTACCAATTTTGGTAATTAAACGATTCCCATCAAGGAAAGATGGTTTTTCAAAGGTACGCGGGAAATTGTCGCTGACATACACTATCACTCCATCATTTTGGCTTTCATAATGTGATTCACAGAAAGTATAACCCGGCAGGACTGGAATATTAGGACACTTACTTAGCCAACACTCTGATAGGACTACGACATCCACCCGAGCATCAATACTAAGAGTAAGAGTGTAAAAGAGTTACCAAATCATCAAAATTACGCGCAACACTTCTTATATTAGAATGAAAAATATTGATTGAATTTACGTCTTTGGATTTGGAAATAAAATTGGCAGTATTTTCTGGGGAGCATACAACACTAGTTGACAGAGATAATTGGTCGATGTTGTCAGATATAACAGTATTTAAGTCCATTTATCCTTTGCGAGAAGTATAACAAATAATACAATTTAAATAAAACAAGATCATAAACAACAGAAAAAAAGACAAAAATAAGATGTATTTTGTGGATGTTTTGGATCCCTCCACTTGAATTACAATTTACGATGATGGTTGCATATAATATTTTACGGACTCTTGATAAACTTATTTTGAAGATTACTCTCACATGTATATAGGTTAAATTGCATAAGTTGATGTGTGTATGTGTGTGTGTGATCATATCAGAGTAGTATGATTTCATTGTAATTATGGATAAGTGTAGTTTGTAGTGTTTTTGTGAAAGAGTATTAACTAAAATTAGCAAGTTACAACAGAATATTAAGGTAGGTAAGTTATATATATAAAGAGAGACACAATAGCAACAGAAAGTAGCAAAATTATCATTTTTATAATTAATTACTAGTCATTTGGTTTCCAAAATATTATCTAGGTCAGCCTCAGAGTTGATCCGAATATGAGCAGCTCCCTCTTGTTTCCGAAGGTACACGTTGCCATTTGCGGTCCAGCAATAGTTGTATTCGTGTGCCTTTGCAAACACTCTTGAGAGATAAAAAAGTGTTTTAAGTTTTTGAGTTAAGGATTCTCTGATATATATAAAGTTAGGACTACCTTCCATATTAATATGTTGTGTATTAAATTTCTCTGCTCCCTTAACCTTGTTAAACTTTTTTATTGCCGAAAGAAAATTATTTTTTAGGATAACGCTGCCCAATTCCACAATTATTGGTCTGTGTTTATTTTCCGATTTGGAGTTGTTAATACGGTAAATATCTCTGATGTCACTCATATCTAGGGTAATGTTTAAAGTTTTAGCTATTTTGACAAGGATTAAACATAGGTTATCTTTAGTTTCTTTATCTGGGGATATTTCGAATTTCCAGGTAGGTAACACGTGATTTTTTTTCCATAAAATCAATTTTACCCTCTAACGACTTTATGTAATTTAAGTTGTTTACTCGCTCTTTCTCGATTTTTTGTAGCTTAACCGTAATTTCATCATACTTTATGCAGGGGGGAGGAGAATATGCACACAAATGCTGTCTAACATACTTTCACAAAAAACGAAATTGTAACTAGGACACACACATCAAAAATTACAACACTAAATCGTACATAGATGAAACTTTTTTTATTAACAGATCTGAAATTTGTACTGGCGAGTCGATTGTTTTTTCAAACAAGTCCGAAAATAAAATTTCTATACTATACTATTTATTTTCTGTTTAAAAGTGATTACATAGAAATAATATGCTAAAAATTCTAATTACGAAATATTATACCATATTTTTTTAAGTTTGATATTGCAAATCTGTTTTTACAGCAAATTACTGAACAATTTAGCATTTTTTGTGCTCTGACTTACATTCTCGCGACTTGAGTCAGTCTATGTGTTTACAAGATATAGATATGCCAATGTCAACGAGATTATAGTGCGAATACGCAGATGTCTAAACAGCGTTCCACCCAGACAGCGAGTGCAACGTTTTACGATGACATAAATTTTACCAAAAATGTATAAAATATAATGTCTATTTAATTGACGAAGTTCCAACTTCCATCCGCAGTGAAGAATATAAAAAAAAAATACGTGTGGCACTCGGGGACTGCCGCGGTAAAGCTATTGCACTATTTTATTTCTTTGATATTAATAGATGGCGAGGCAAGCCTTATGATGTTTTATTGAGTAAGCACAGCAAACAACAGCATTGCCCGGCGCCAAAAAACTTCCACAAGCTCCACAGTTTACTTACTATCTTTAGTGCAAAAATTTTAATTATAATTATATAGTCTAAATAAAGGGGAAACAAATAAAAATAAGAACAGGTGCTGGGGCCTAAAACAAATATATAAAAAACGAGGAAAAAAATATAATAAAAAATACGAGTGCGGGATTTGAACCGACGACCGCGGTGATGCGTAGAACGTTGGTCCCGTGGCAAAAATATAACAAACTGCTCCGTTTCGACCGATACTGGAAAGGCGAAAATTGTGTTCATATGCACTGTTGTCAGGTTATTTTCGGAATTTCTTGATTCGGTGGTCGCGCTCAAAGCCCGCGATAAAATCTATGCAATAGCTTAAAATACAGCGTGTGTACAGACTACGCATATCAGAAGTGAAACGAACTTTTATAATAATAGTTATAAAATATATATTAACATGATTATATAATTTAAAAAACGTAAATATTAAACAAAAGTAATCTGATATTTCGTTAGAATAGGTATGTACATACGTACATGGTGTGTAAGTTTTTTAACAGATGGCGCTGTTCATACATCTACATCGCGGTATGGTTTGGTATAACGGCCTTGATATATACGTACCAAGTTTTGACTGTAGGGTGACTAAAAATTTATTATTTCGTATTTTTGGTCGCGTCAGTCTAGCTTGGCTTAAGATGGCGTGTCATTATAGTTATTTATGCAATACAATTGTTGTACAAAGAGGAACGTTCAAATAAGTATATAGCGTGCAAATTCATTCTCTCTAGTTGTTTACATCTATCCGTAATTTAAAATCGTCGCACTAAAATCTATCGCTGAAATCGTGACGCGGCCTTCAAAATTTACCCTCGTCGCGCGCAAAGAAGGTTCATTTAAAAAAATGTATATTTCCTATTGTATACGAAGATTTTATGGAATACAGTTCTTTTTAAAAGGTGGAAAACAAGCAATATTTTCTGCCCGATGGTAGGCACCAAAATAAACCAGACATCAAAAATATAACCCAATCCCCTTGGATTTAGCGTGTGCGGGGAAGTACTCGCATATCACCTGCAGTATGCAGACGCAGCGCGTACAGGCCGGGCTCGAGCAGGCGCGCGGTGTAGTTGAGGGCGACCGCGGCATGGTCCGGGGCGGGCTCGTCGCCCGAGGCCTCCAGCTGCAGCCAGCGCGGCACCAGCCCGTACACATATCGTATATCACCTGCAGTATGCAGACGCAGCGCGTACAGGCCGGGCTCGAGCAGGCGCGCGGTGTAGTTGAGGGCGACCGCGGCATGGTCCGGGGCGGGCTCGTCGCCCGAGGCCTCCAGCTGCAGCCAGCGCGGCACCAGCCCGTACACATATCGTATATCACCTGCAGTATGCAGACGCAGCGCGTACAGGCCGGGCTCGAGCAGGCGCGCGGTGTAGTTGAGGGCGACCGCGGCATGGTCCGGGGCGGGCTCGTCGCCCGAGGCCTCCAGCTGCAGCCAGCGCGGCACCAGCCCGTACACATATCGTATATCACCTGCAGTATGCAGACGCAGCGCGTACAGGCCGGGCTCGAGCAGGCGCGCGGTGTAGTTGAGGGCGACCGCGGCATGGTCCGGGGCGGGCTCGTCGCCCGAGGCCTCCAGCTGCAGCCAGCGCGGCACCAGCCCGTACACATATCGTATATCACCTGCAGTATGCAGACGCAGCGCGTACAGGCCGGGCTCGAGCAGGCGCGCGGTGTAGTTGAGGGCGACCGCGGCATGGTCCGGGGCGGGCTCGTCGCCCGAGGCCTCCAGCTGCAGCCAGCGCGGCACCAGCCCGTACACATATCGTATATCACCTGCAGTATGCAGACGCAGCGCGTACAGGCCGGGCTCGAGCAGGCGCGCGGTGTAGTTGAGGGCGACCGCGGCATGGTCCGGGGCGGGCTCGTCGCCCGAGGCCTCCAGCTGCAGCCAGCGCGGCACCAGCCCGTACACATATCGTATATCACCTGCAGTATGCAGACGCAGCGCGTACAGGCCGGGCTCGAGCAGGCGCGCGGTGTAGTTGAGGGCGACCGCGGCATGGTCCGGGGCGGGCTCGTCGCCCGAGGCCTCCAGCTGCAGCCAGCGCGGCACCAGCCCGTACACATATCGTATATCACCTGCAGTATGCAGACGCAGCGCGTACAGGCCGGGCTCGAGCAGGCGCGCGGTGTAGTTGAGGGCGACCGCGGCATGGTCCGGGGCGGGCTCGTCGCCCGAGGCCTCCAGCTGCAGCCAGCGCGGCACCAGCCCGTACACATATCGTATATCACCTGCAGTATGCAGACGCAGCGCGTACAGGCCGGGCTCGAGCAGGCGCGCGGTGTAGTTGAGGGCGACCGCGGCATGGTCCGGGGCGGGCTCGTCGCCCGAGGCCTCCAGCTGCAGCCAGCGCGGCACCAGCCCGTACACCGGCAGAGAGTACGGCGCGCCCCCGTACACCCACTCCGCGCTGTCCGCGTCTCCGCGCCTCCACTCCCTGCCTGTGCATGTCGCATCGTCATTATCGATCCTGACCGACGGCGACCCGTTAGATGCTAAATAAATTAAGCTGGTACAGGACTCGATATAATTGACGAAAAATTTTGAGACATCGAATGACACAAAAAATAGTGTAAATTAACGTATTTATCTGTACGAATATGGGCAGTGCGCATTAGTTTTTGTAACGTAAATTAAAATTTTAAATGTCATTCATAATGCACGCACGATATATCCCATTAAGTTTAACACGTTATCACTTGTGAGTGTTGACTCGGGCTTGCTAGCCTGACACACTGGTTGTGTTTGTAGCTTATAAGATGTAATGCGAGAGATTGCATTTGTTATAAAGTTAACTGGAATTACTATGTATACCTTTTATTAAAATCATACAAAGTATTTTCAATAATAAGGTTGTTAAAATTATGTAATGAGTGTATTTTGTTGGTGTACCATAATAAAATAAAAATAAAAAAAGAAACATCATCTTAAATTGGGAAACCGTGGGATACTGCTAGAATTTTATATACTGTAGGACGGAAGGGGAAGATCTTCCTCCGAACTGTTTAATGTTAGCTCGGGGCCGCAGCCCGACTGATGTTGGTCGGGCATTGTATATATGAAGTGTTAGCCTCCGAATTTCTCTTGCGCGATATAGGCTTCCATACGTTGTGAACGCAGCGTCGATAGCGCCATCTCTTGAGGAAGCGAATGACTATTTCGTTCATGTTCATTATATGTGGGGCATGTAAATGTCGCCGCCACAATACTAAAACCATCTCTGATAAATACGCATTTATATGCCGAAAACCCCGTCCAAATGGGATCAGTAGTTTTTGAGATAATCGTGAACAAACATACAGATCAAACGGACACCATCTTTTTTTGGATCTGTTAAAAACTTTAAATTTCGAGATGGGCAACCAGCTTGCAGCGTGCTTTCAGCGGCACGTAGTTTTCCGTTGCTTGCTCAAACGGTTTGCATACGCCTGTCAAGCGGCTTCACCAAGCACCACGCATTTTTTTTTCATTTCAAACCCTATCATTCGTATTGCTGTTACCAACACTTCGAATCATCGAACCACCAACTTGGTTGACCACAAGGGATTTTCCCAATTGTGCGAAATGGATTCAAATATACGTAAAGCGTTGCTAGCTCTTGCATAAGCTTTGAGTTTAAAAGAAAAAAAGGAAAAGACACGCATTTGATTTTATGAATGGTCCAAGTTAAGATCTCGGTCTGGGCTGACCAAGATCTTACTTCGCTATGCTTAATTAAGTCGGCAACGAACATTGTCAAAGACGAACACTACGAACGAACGCGTCAAGTCGTCTCATAAAGCAAATAACATAAAATCGCGGGGCAAGCTGTTAAATGCTCGGTTCAAGCATCAAGCAAACATTGTAGAAGGTCCAATGCTCGAAGCGAGCTAAAATCTGCGTGCTTGACGCCAAGCTGCTTGTCGTCTCGGGATACACACATTTAGGGACTTCTAAAATCTAAAATTTTAGCATGAAAAGACGTCAATCTAAAAGCGTCCTTAAGTAATAATCCAATTCAAATTAAATGCAAAATAAAAATACAAAATCACAAAAGTATTATAAATATAACTAGTTTTCACGGGTTAATGCACGAAACTTTATTTATTTATTGACGTTTCGGAGCCTTCACAGGCTTCGTCGTCAAAATAAAACTTTTATTTAATTTGTCGAGCTACCTTCGAAAGACTTTTTGTGCGCGAAAACCTAAGAAACAAATATCATTCATTCAGTGTAGACCGTTACAAGCTTTCGCGCAAGTAGAAATCTCGGTGAACACTCACCCAGGGTGTCGACTCGAGCCTCGGTGTTGGGATCCAGCTCGGGCAGCCAGTAGTAGTGGGTGGTGAGGTCGGGCCGGCCGGGCACGTGCTCGACCCGCCGCACGTGGAACATCATCAGCCGCTGCGGGCGGGCCGGCGTGTAGCTGCCCTCCGCGCCCCACCACACCGCCCACGCCGCCCACGCCGCGCCGCACGCCAGCCCCGCCCACGCCTGCGGCACAAGAGGGGTACTCACTACGCGTGGACAGGCCGCCCGGCAGGTGGAGCATCATGAGGGCAGGTGCGCCGATCCGCCGTGTAGGTCATCATCATCATCAGCCTATTAATGTCCCCACTGCTGGGGCACAGGCCTTCCCAATGGATGGAATAGGGAGATTGATTGGGCCACATGACCCACCACGCGGGCCCAGTGCGGATTGGTGGGTGCTAACGACTGCAAATGCAGCCGGGACCAACGGCTTAACGTACCTTCCGAAGCACGGAGGAGCTCGAGATAGTAAATTTTTGGTCACCCATCCAATGACCGACCACTGCGAAAGTTGCTTAACTTCAACGATCGCAGCCGAACGCGCTAACCACCTGCGCCATCGAGCTCCTCAAGCCGTGTAGGTAAAACGTATTAATAATAACTAGCAAACCGGTGAACCGAATGTTCACCAAACCCTGATTTAAAAAATGTATTTAATTAATTGAGAACTTCTGAGATTTTGTGTGGTTTCGTTTGAAATTATTTAATTAAGAAAAAAAAATAACCTTTAAATAGTTAATTAAAATTGTGATAATTACAAAATAGAAATCACGCGAAAACCGGAAGTGCTACGTTACTCAAATCCGGTTTGTAGTCTTATCAGACTATTCTTAACTTATAACTTAAATATTCTCTTTATCTATCTCTTACGGTTTGGCCGCTGAAACAGCACCGCAGACAGACGGACGGACGGACTTGTCTAATAGATAAGAGATATTTCAAAAAAGGTAGGACACAGGGGATTTTCAGCTCGAATTGGAGTGCCCATTTGGGGAAGTAACCTCCACCTAACAGAAGACCACAATGAAATAACACTGCCTTTAGGTAATCGTCACGGACAGACCTCCGTTTACAGTTTCAGTGTTACATTTTGACGACGACCTCCATGGCTGGTTTGTACGCCGGGTTTCATGGTGTCGCCGACTCTAGAGGTCCCGGGTTCAAATCCCGGTGGGGGCAGATGTTTGTGTGATGAATACGAGCATTTGTACTCCAGGCATGGATGTTTAATATGTATTTTTATAAAAAAAAAATACTTAAATGTTTCCAGTATATGTATTCTAACCGTTACCCTAGTATCCCAAAACACAAGGCTTATAGTGTTTACTTTGGGGCTAGGCTAATTGGTGTGAATGTTGAAAATATTTATTTATTTATTTGTTATAGTCCAAATTCCAAAGTAAACCTGTTTTCCCATCCCATCCGCCTTTTCCTTTGCTGTCCACGACAATAATATTGTGTTACTGACGGTAAGTAATGTGTCAGCTCACTACAGGATAGAGGATTGTATTAGAGTAGGATACGAGTGATGTTTTTTTGTATAGCTAACGTCTAAAGGCTATGGTGACCGTTTACTATCAGGCGGGTCGTATGCTTATTTGCTACCTTTTAGATATAAAAAAAATGATGTGGTGTCGTGGGACACCAGGTAGGAACGAATTTCCTTCGGCTAATGAAGAATCGACACAAATTGCAAAAAAAATCGTGCTCAATTTTATGTAGGTTTCCTTGGTTTTTCTCTTAAATTTTGCTGATTAGTTTTTATTTAAGTACAAGAAAGTATTTAGGAAATTCAGTATTTTAGGAAATAATAAATTACTTAAAATAAAAAAACATCGTAATTCAAATTATCAACTAAAAAATGGGTGCGTGTACTTATGTAGGCGCGTCAGAAGTTATCCTTCTTTGGCATCGTTTAAAATTAGTTTTTAATTGCATGCAAATAATTAATTACAATAAATTAATAAAAAGTCTGGAAAAGGACACAGTCAATAAAGTTTAGATTTAATTTGAAAAAATAAATAAATAGTCAAAATATTCAATTAAAATCGCTACTGAATATAATTTATTAGAACATATGTGATTTGCACTTGTATGAAACTCAAACACGTATTCCGAATATACAAACTAGAAACATGTGGATAAATATTATAAATATGAATACCTATAACTGTTACTTTATTACAAAAAATAAAGATGTGATTTTTGGTTCTACTACACCAATGGTCAAGAGATGGCGCTGTAGTCTCCTGAATCGCGCTTTGGTTCCGTTGTTCCAGATTAATAAATACTTTTGATAGGCCTTCACAATGCAGTCGTTAGCACCCACTTAATAGAGATTCTATTTCTATTTTGTTGGTAGATTTTCTTAATGTGCGGTAAACACAAAAGTAACGCATGAAGTTGGTCGCTAAAGCGACTAACTTCATGGTGTTAAAATTTTGTGTTACAGTGATGCGCGCGCATCTTAAAATTTCACTCTCATCATTTTTTCAAAACGCGCCTAAAGAAGTATAACTTCAATAACAAAATATGTCTCTTTATTTTTGTTTGACAACATAAAATTACATAGAAATAGAAAAATTCGCGCCTGCGCACGTCTCATTTAACGGTTTTATTCCACGCACTTTTTTCCACGGATTTTTTCTTACGGTTTTACTATCACATTTTTTGAGTTCGGTCGCGCAGCAAAATCCCTATCCCCTCCAAGCCTGCCGTAAGGAACTTCGTTCCAATAATAATAGTTTATGAAAAGTAGTAATTACTATATAGTGAAGGTCCCGGGAGGCTACCGCCAGCGCGGCCACCCAGTTGCACACCAGCAGCACCACCACCGCCACCGCGGCCGCCATCACCACCTGGCCACGGGCTCAATGTCAATCATCCAACCAATTACAGATTATATGGAAGGCATACTCTCTAACGAACACCGCTCAAACTTGCTTCCAAATTAATACAACCAAACTTTGTAAAATAGAATATCTGCGAATGAATTCGGTTATCCATTCATTGAGTACGATAATGTTAAATGGAAATCCCAACCGATCCCATGATCGACGTGTTGACCGTCTTATTACAATTTTTACTTAGAAGTGACGTCACAAAGCCCCGTTGCCAAACTGTCGCGCTTTCTTTTTAATTTTTTGGTTATGAAACAATAGAAAAAATAAGTGTCCATTATTTTATATAAACTGACGGACTAAATCGAATTTCATTTAATGTTGCCCTGCAGCATCTTGGGCGTTCCAATACTGACCGTTACGGGCACCTTGGGCGCCCCGGCCCGGCCGCATAGGGGCAGCAGCATGACCATCGAGTCGCGCGCCACGTAGGCGCTCTGCAGCACCTTGGGCGCCCAGCCCGCCCCCGCCCCCGCCCCCGCCCTCTGTCTATAGACACCAGCACCAGCATACAATACTGACCGCCACGGGCACCTTGGGCGCCCCGGCCCGGCCGCATAGGGGCAGCAGCATGACCATCGAGTCGCGCGCCACGTAGCCGCCCTGCAGCACCTTGGGCGCCCAGCCCGCCCCCGCCCCCGCCCCCGCCCTCTGTCTATAGACACCAGCACCAGCATACAATACTGACCGCCACGGGCACCTTGGGCGCCCCGGCCCGGCCGCATAGGGGCAGCAGCATGACCATCGAGTCGCGCGCCACGTAGGCGCTCTGCAGCACCTTGGGCGCCCAGCCCGCCCCCGCCCCCGCCCCCGCCCTCTGTCTATAGACACCAGCACCAGCATACAATACTGACCGCCACGGGCACCTTGGGCGCCCCGGCCCGGCCGCATAGGGGCAGCAGCATGACCATCGAGTCGCGCGCCACGTAGGCGCTCTGCAGCACCTTGGGCGCCCAGCCCGCCCCCGCCCCCGCCCCCGCCCTCTGTCTATAGACACCAGCACCAGCATACAATACTGACCGCCACGGGCACCTTGGGCGCCCCGGCCCGGCCGCATAGGGGCAGCAGCATGACCATCGAGTCGCGCGCCACGTAGCCGCCCTGCAGCACCTTGGGCGCCCAGCCCGCCCCCGCCCCCGCCCCCGCCCTCTGTCTATAGACACCAGCACCAGCATACAATACTGACCGCCACGGGCACCTTGGGCGCCCCGGCCCGGCCGCATAGGGGCAGCAGCATGACCATCGAGTCGCGCGCCACGTAGGCGCTCTGCAGCACCTTGGGCGCCCAGCCCGCCCCCGCCCCCGCCCTCTGTCTATAGACACCAGCACCAGCATACAATACTGACCGCCACGGGCACCTTGGGCGCCCCGGCCCGGCCGCATAGGGGCAGCAGCATGACCATCGAGTCGCGCGCCACGTAGGCGCTCTGCAGCACCTTGGGCGCCCAGCCCGCCCCCGCCCCCGCCCCCGCCCTCTGTCTATAGACACCAGCACCAGCATACAATACTGACCGCCACGGGCACCTTGGGCGCCCCGGCCCGGCCGCATAGGGGCAGCAGCATGACCATCGAGTCGCGCGCCACGTAGGCGCTCTGCAGCACCTTGGGCGCCCAGCCCGCCCCCGCCCCCGCCCCCGCCCTCTGTCTATAGACACCAGCACCAGCATACAATACTGACCGCCACGGGCACCTTGGGCGCCCCGGCCCGGCCGCATAGGGGCAGCAGCATGACCATCGAGTCGCGCGCCACGTAGCCGCCCTGCAGCACCTTGGGCGCCCAGCCCGCCCCCGCCCCCGCCCCCGCCCTCTGTCTATAGACACCAGCACCAGCATACAATACTGACCGCCACGGGCACCTTGGGCGCCCCGGCCCGGCCGCATAGGGGCAGCAGCATGACCATCGAGTCGCGCGCCACGTAGCCGCCCTGCAGCACCTTGGGCGCCCAGCCCGCCCCCGCCCCCGCCCCCGCCCTCTGTCTATAGACACCAGCACCAGCATACAATACTGACCGCCACGGGCACCTTGGGCGCCCCGGCCCGGCCGCATAGGGGCAGCAGCATGACCATCGAGTCGCGCGCCACGTAGGCGCTCTGCAGCACCTTGGGCGCCCAGCCCGCCCCCCCCCCCCCCCCCGCCCTCTGTCTATAGACACCAGCACCAGCATACAATACTGACCGCCACGGGCACCTTGGGCGCCCCGGCCCGGCCGCATAGGGGCAGCAGCATGGCCATCGAGTCGCGCGCCACGTAGGCGCTCTGCAGCACCGGCAGCGTCCAGCCCGCCGCCCACCACCAGGCCCGCCCTCTGTCTTTAGATATCAACGCAACCATACAACATTAGCGTTAGCTTAATAATTCGCATCACATTTTATCGATCGAAGCGAGTGAATGAAATGAATCTTCTTTTTTCAATTGCTATAAAAAGACGTCGATAATAAAAAAAAGCGAATATGCATATAATAAAAATAAAAATCTCGAAAATCGTATATTTGCTTGCTTGCTTAAGCCAGCGAGACTCATTTGAACTTAAGCTTGCCAATAAGCAAGTGGACCAAATGCTAAAAAAAAAATATACTACATATCTAGATGGGGTGGAGGAGTCGATTAGGCAAAATCCTAAAAAACTTTGGTCGTACGTCAAGGATCTCCGCGGTGGTAAATCTAACATTCCTGGTGAAATGCATCTCAATACGGCTTCAGCTTCTACCGGTAAGGAAATATGTGATCTTTTCGCAACACACTTCTCCTCGGTCTATACCCAGAAACTAGATTCCATACCCAGTGATTTAGTTAATGATAGTGACTATCCCCAGCTATCTCTCAGTAATGTTGCTATATCCGAACGCATGATCACTAAGATCTTATCTAAAATTGACGAGAGTAAAGGAGCAAATCCTGACGGCATTCCGTCACTATTTCTTAAAAGAACCGCTAAATACATTGCGCATCCACTTAAAATCATATTAGCTAAATCCATTGCTACGGGTATTTTTCCGGATTTGCTTAAGGAGGCTAATATTATTCCAGTCTTGAAAAAAGGTGAAAATAATAACGTTAAAAACTAAATTAAAAACTATTATTAATTAAAAACTATAAAATCATGCATTTCACGTTTACAATATGGGCAATATGAAAGTCACCTTTAACATTAATTATCAAATTTGTAGTAATAATTAACAAAAAATTTTTGTAATTTATCCAGTAAATACTTTAATCAATAATTCAATAAATTATCATTCATTTTATAAAAATTCCATGGGGCCCCCTCAAAGCACCCATGAAATCCGCTCCTATGCGCTCGAACTACCTTAAGTATGCTCTTAGTACGTGTTCTGACTTCGATGAGCTGGTGGGGAAAATAAAAAATGGATTACTGGTGGTCAGTAATCAGAAATAAATGTGGACTGTATTTTTTAGGATGGTTGGATGCTAGAACAGTCGAGACTGTTGAACAGATGTAAATGAATCGGCTGACACTATTTAACAGTAATAATTAACGATTTATTAATATCTATTCTGAATGCAATATCAAAGATATTTGAAAAAATTATCTGCCCGTTTTTAACTTCCCATTTTAAAAACATCATTCATGCAAACCAGCACGGATTCTGTAAACATAAATCAGCAGCAACCAATCTTGTTTCGTATGTCAATGAACTAACGAAATCAATCGACTCTGGCGTAGAAATAGATTCCATTTATACAGATTTTAGCAATACGTTTGACAAGGTTGACCACAATATACTGTTTATGAAACTGAAGCGTTACGGAATTCATGGACCCCTACTGCTATGGCTCCGTTCTTACTTAGAGCATCGGTTGTTAAGGGTAGTTGTGAACGGCTACACATCGAAACCATTCCTCACCTCGTCGGGAGTCCCCCAGGGTTCGATCTTGGGACCAATTCTGTTTCTCCTTTTCATTAACGATATCCCTAATAAAATCCGGTAGCAGCTGCTCTCTTTTTGCCGACGATTTAAAGTTGTATCGACCGATCAAAAACGAGGAAGATATACTTTTGCTCCAAAAAGATCTAGACTCGGTATCGGAATGGTGCGTAGATAACGGTATGACTCTTAACGCAAGTAAATGTCTATTTATAAAATTTACCAGAAAGACAAAAAACATTAACGCTTCTGTCTATACTATTAATTCTGCACAGCTAACCGAAGTGGGTTCGACTCGTGATCTGGGCATTGTAATTCACAAAAAGCTCGGATCCATTGAACATATTAACGTTATTGTTGCAAAGGCATTAAAAATGTTGGGTTTCTTGAAACGCCTATGTAAGAATTTCCATAACACCGCAACAATTTTATGCTTGTATAAGAGTTTGGTGCAAAGTATACTAAAATACAGTTCCCAAGTCTGGAATCCGCAATATCAAGTCCACATTGATAGAATCGAGCGAATTCAACGTAATTTTACGAGGTTTCTTGCTTCAAAAACAGGAAATGTCCTTATCGTGCGGATTACCACACTCGTATCAAATACTTTAAACGTCATACCTTAGAAAAGCGTAGAAAAATCGCGGACATTTTATTGCTGCACAAATTACTTCACGGCAATATTGTTGCGCAAGATCTTCTTGCGGAAATTAAGTTAAAGGTTCCCAGAAAAATCTCCCGCCAACCTCATTTAACTGAAATCATTCGTTAACTGTCCCTTTAAAACAAAATTAGCTTCACCGTTTAACAGAATTAAAGATGCATACAACGAGATATGCCATGATGTTGACATCTTCCATGCTCCACTCAAAGCCCTCAAAAATCATCTGTATGGTAACGTTCAAACCGAACAGTATTTTTTTTCTGTTAAAAGTATAAGTAAGTACCTACCTACATATAGTCAAGAAAAGAAAGAAAAAGATTTTTGTTGATAAAAAAAAACCATCAATCCGCGTTGGGTCTGTTATCACCCACCAATATGCACTGGATCCATTGTCACCCAACAATCCGCGCTGGGTCTGTTATCACCCACCAATCCGCGCTGGATCCGTTATCATCCACCAAGCATTAGATTCATGTATTTTGTGACGGGTATTGGTCATTGTTTACCAATGAGTCACCGATGACATTAATCGTAACGCGAAATCGTAACACATTCGCTAGTTCCTCCCCCCCCCCCCCCCCCAAGTCAAGTTAATTAAAAGTCATGCGACTTCATGAATGATTGCCTAAAGTCATTTTTTAATTTGTCAACAAAGAGATAATAGTGGAGGTAAAAAAAGCCCTTGCCGACTTTCTTGCCGGTTCTTCTCAGGACAAAGTCTCGAACCGATGCGATGATGTAGCTTGGAGACATTAATAAATGATTAGTACCAGACAGAACAGCGTTCTCACCGCTAGCCTTAAAGGCGGTAGCCGCCAGGTCGGCGAGGGTGGGCAGCAAGGTCCACAGCAAGGGCAGGTATCCGGAGCGCACGCGCAGCACCAAGCACGCCGCCAGGCACGCGGCGCCGCCCGCCGCCAGCGCGTCGCTCGCGGCCCGCGCCGCCCACCAGCCGCGCCGCGCGCCAGGGGGCAGCGCGCCTATACCGCGCCCCGCACTGTACACATACATATATATATATATATATATATATACTATCCGCAGCACCAAGCACGCCGCCAGGCACGCGGCGCCGCCCGCCGCCAGCGCGTCGCTCGCGGCCCGCGCCGCCCACCAGCCGCGCCGCGCGCCAGGGGGCAGCGCGCCTATACCGCGCCCCGCACTGTACACATACATATATATATATATATATATATATACTATCCGCAGCACCAAGCACGCCGCCAGGCACGCGGCGCCGCCCGCCGCCAGCGCGTCGCTCGCGGCCCGCGCCGCCCACCAGCCGCGCCGCGCGCCAGGGGGCAGCGCGCCTATACCGCGCCCCGCACTGTACACATACATATATATATATATATATATACTATCCGCAGCACCAAGCACGCCGCCAGGCACGCGGCGCCGCCCGCCGCCAGCGCGTCGCTCGCGGCCCGCGCCGCCCACCAGCCGCGCCGCGCGCCAGGGGGCAGCGCGCCTATACCGCGCCCCGCACTGTACACATACATATATATATATATATATATATGTAGTACGGGAGGGGCGCGCCGCCCGCCTGCAGGCCCGCGCCGATCCCCGCGGCACATACCACATCACGGGGGCGGCGACAGAGAGCGCAGGCAGGGCCACGAGGGGCGCCAGTAGGGCGGGGCGCGCGTAGTACGGGAGGGGCGCGCCGCCCGCCTGCAGGCCCGCGCCGATCCCCGCGGCCGCGCCCGCCCCCGCCAGCCCCGCGCCGACCACGCGGACTCCCGCCTGCAGCACCGCCCGCAACCACGCGGCCCGAGACATGTACACTGTTGACAATACCCACCCAGCTTTAGTGAGCAAACGCACATTGAAACACTCGTGGCGGTCACGAAACGCGACCACTCCTGGCTCAGTCAAACCACTTGAAATTTTGTTAATAATGATATTTTAATGTAATTAAGAGAACTATCATGTAAAAATATTTTGACGTGACAACGTCTTAAATTAGGTTGCGGCTGGGAGTCACTTATGAAAAAGTGTAACGCTCGGTAACGTTACGATGAGTTTAAGTTTACATGTACAATGTTTTAGTAAACAAAATATATTTCTATAGTTAAAATTTGTGCAATTCTTATTTTCATTCAATTCCTTGTTCCTATTGTGCAATTTAATTATATTCATATCAATAAATATTCTACCGAGAAAAAGACGTTGTCACGTAAAATCTTCGCCCGTAAAACCGACTTTACAGGCAACCATTTTTTTTTTTTTTTATAAATAGGTCCGACAAATGACTCCACCCCACCTGATGTTAAGTGAAGGTGAAGTCCAGACGTGACGATAGCTGATACAGCAGTTTTACCTGCCACACCAGCCATCTTCACCCTGCCGGCCTGCATGTTGCTTCTTCACGCCTCTTTTAAAGGATCCCAGGTTGTAAGAGGGAGGGAACACGTGAGCGGGCAGAGCATTCCATTTACGGATAGTGCGACAAAGAAATGAGTCACCAAATTTCTTTGTACGCGTTGGAATTGTGGCCACAGTTAGACGATGACAACGTAGGCCAGCGCGCGTGGTCCTCTGAAGGAAAGGAGAAGGTGGGATAAGAGAGAATAACTCCTCAGAACACTCGCCGTGGTACAGACGATAGAACGCGCTTAGTGACGCCACGTCACGGCGTAATTGAAGAGGCTCAAGGTGTTTAGTCACCTCCTCATCGCCTATGATGCGGATCGCGCGTCGCTGTAACCTATCCAAAGCATCGAGCAAGTACTTGGCGGAGCCATCCCAGAGGTGCGAGCAATATTCCACGCAGGACCGCACTTGCGTTTTGTACAACAAGCACAGTTGATCGGGCGTGAAAAAACGCCGCACCTTGTTCAGGACTCCGAGTTTGCGTGAAGCTGTTTTGATCACGGTTTCGATGTAGTTCTTTGGATTCAGGTCTGAGCGGACTTCCATACCGAGCATGGAAATGTTGCTCTGCAGCGGTAGTGTTGTGCCCTGAAGAGATGGAAGGGGAAGGAATGGCGATGTTTTTGCCGTGAAAGCGCAAGCCTGAGTTTTTTGACGTGACAACGTCTTAAATTAGGTTGCGGCTGGGAGTCACTTATGAAAAAGTGTAACGCTCGGTAACGTTACGATGAGTCTCTCGTGTTAAGTTTAAGTTTACATGTACAATGTTTTAGTAAACAAAATATATTTCTATAGTTAAAATTTGTGCAATTCTTATTTTCATTCAATTCCTTGTTCCTATTGTGCAATTTAATTATATTCATATCAATAAATATTCTACCGAGAAAAAGACGTTGTCACGTAAAATCTTCGCCCGTAAAACCGACTTTACAGGCAACCATATTTTTTTTGGCATTGAACTCAACCAAGTTCCTGGTACCCCATTCGGAAATGTGGTCCAAAGCCTGATTGAGTTCAATTACAAAATTCTCGCGTTTCTCCTTGGTTACTGCCAGCCCAGCCGCTGCTTGTCCGAGATACCCCGCATGCACTGTACTATCGTCTGCATAGCAATGAATATTCCCAAGAGGAATTAAGTCATTGATATGCAGCAGAAAGAGACTGGGGGATAGGACGGAGCCCTGGGGAACGCCGGCATTCACTGACATGAACCGCGAACTGCTACCATCCGTAAGGACACGAATTCTACGCTCATGCAGGAAGTCAGCTACCCAAGAACAGAACTGGGCTGCCAGACCGTATGCCGGAAGCTTGGAGAGAAGGCTTTTGTGCCAGACCCTGTCAAACGCCTTGGCAATGTCAAGGCTGATAGCCAACGACTCGCCACGCTTGTCGATAGCCTCACCCCAGATATGAGTTAAGTACGCTAGAAGATCACCCGTCGATCGTTTCGGTCTAAAACCATATTGACGATCATTAATCAAGGAGTGATCCTCTAGGTAGCGGGTCAGATGGTTATTAAGGACCTTTTCTAAAACTTTACATAAAACTGAGGTGACTGCTATTGGCCGGTAGTTTGCCGGGTCTGAGCGATCTCCTTTTTTGGGCACCGGTTGCACATTGGCATCTCTCCAAGTCTCCGGCACACGCCCCAAAGAATACGAGCATTGGTACAAGCGCGTGAGCACGGGAGACAACTCCGCTGCACATTTTTTGAGTACTACTGCTGGGATGCCATCAGGTCCACTAGCTTTCCGGACGTCGAGTGATTGCAATTCGGCACGAACCTCGCGCTGCCTGATTTTAATATCAGGCATCGTTGTGCCACAGTGAGGTAATGATGGTGGCAGTGCATTGCAATCATCGATTCGGGAGTTAGCCGCAAAGAGTTTTGCCAGTAAATCGGCTTTCTCCTGCGGCTTATGGGCTAGTGTTCCGTCTGGGCATCTCAGAGGTGGCAGCGAAGGCTCGCAGAAGTTTTTTTGCACGGCCTTGGCCAGACGTCAGTAGCTACGGGAGCCCGTAGGATGCGTCATAAGTTCCTGGCCAACACGTGCAACGCGCTGGGCATCCGCTCTAATGTAAGCCTTCTTACAGGCCTTGGAAGCAAAATTGTAGGCTGCTTTGAGTAAATCGACCTCGGGATCCTTGAGAGCGCGCCCTCTGATCCAAGCACGATATGCCGCTTGCTTACGCGAAGCAGCTTCAGCACAGTCGTGATTGAACCAGAGGTTACGCGTGCCCTTACTGATGAGATCAGAATGAGGAATATAGTATTCCATACCCATTATAATCTCCTCAGTAATGGCAACGGCACTGGCCGATAGGTCCCTGTCACTGAAGCAGCGCTGCTTCCAGGGGACGGACGCAAAGTAGTCACGCATACCGTCCCAATCTGCCGACCCATAATGCCAGATACGGCGCTTGACCACTGCTGGACGCGGAGGCTTGGCCTGTGGTGCTTTGGCAGATTTCAGGCAGTGGTCTGACGAGCCCAGGGGGGCTCTTACCACAACCTGATAGCCCTGTGGATGGATCGTGAGCAGAAGGTCCAGTAAAGAAGGCGCTTGACTTGGAATATCTGGGATCCTGGTGGGCTGATCAACCAGTTGCTTCAAGTCATGCGTGAGAGCGAATGCGTGAGCAGAGATCCCTGCATGGTCAGTTTTGGAGGAACTTGACCACAAATTGTGGTGAGCATTAAAGTCCCCCAAAAACACCAATTCTGCATTGGGAAATTGTTCCTGCGCGTCATCTGCTCCCCGACTAAGGTGTTCAAAAAGTCGAGTTGTCTCAACATCGCCGGTGTGGGATCTGTAGAGACACACGTAAACTCTGGCCAGGGAGCCAGAGTCGACGTGTACCCCCAGCATGGAGAAGGAGGGATCTTCCAAGCAGCGGAGACGGCGACAACAAACATCCGCCCGAACATACAGGCATACACCGGCTTTCGCTTTGAAGGACTCTTCAAACACGTAGCCGGGATAATTAAGGTAGCCTGTGTCAGCAGGCGGAAGTATTTGTGTCTCCGTCAGGAACAACAATGCTGGCCGTGCTGTCTCGAGATGGTGGTGGACAGCGTTGAGGTTAGAGTGGAGTCCGCGTATGTTGCAGAACTCGACCTCAAACAGCGTTGAAGGCGTGGGGGTGTGCACCGCTGAACGTCCAAACTTTGTTTTAGGAGCTGCCATTATGGAAGTGAAAAAGAGACGAGAAACGAGTGGACGTTGTCGCGACAAGACCGGGCAAATTAGGGAGGCATGTTTCCCCGAATGATTGCCTGCAGAGGATATACGCCGACCCGCCGGACGGAAGGGCCCCCGCACCCCCCCGGGAGTGGCCGCCGGGACCCCACGCCCCGGTCACCAACCGGCACGACCCCCCACCCCGAGATTATGCGTGACATGATGGGGCAGCCTCGCGAACTGGTTAGGAACGCTCGGGCCCCTGTACTGTGCCACGGGCGGCCAGCGGGACAGCCGTTTCTACGGGTCCCCCCCCCCCCACACACACTCACGTCGCTTGTTGGCCGCGCCGGCAGCCAGGTGCAGCCGCAGCAGCACCAGGCCGAGGGTCAGCAGCGCCAGCAGTACGGCGGCGGTGGGCCGCGCCACCACCAGCAGCACTCCCAGCAGGTCCCAGAACACCGGCTGCCCCTCCTCAGCCCTGGCTGCGGACTCCAGACTCAAGCTGCCCAGAAGTCCTGCACCACACATTTTTTATGTCAAAAAGGTGGCAAAAATAACCGACATGAGGCTTAAGGGCGAATTTTGACAGATTCATAATGTATCGCATCATTAGTTTCTATGAAAACTAAGCAGCGCCCCTATTGGACGTCAAAACGAACTAGCCTTTTCCATACAAAAATTGACGATGACGATACCTTACGAAACTGTCAAAAATTCGTGCTTGGGACTCTGGTAGAAAGTGACCACCATCTATATATATAAAACTCAAATGTGACTGACTGACATAGTGATCTATCAACGCACAGCCCAAACCACTGAACGGATCAGGCTGAGATTTGACATGCAGGTAGATGTTATGACGTAGGCATCCGCTAAGAAAGGATTTTGATCAATTCTATCCCCAAGGGGATAAAATAGGGAATCAAAGTTTGTATGAAACTTTGTCTATTTTAAACCGATCGAGCTGAGACTTTGCATGCAGGTATAAGAAGAATTATAGATGAATGTCATTATGTATAATACGAGCCTGAGGACAAAAACTGTAGTCTTACACTTCAGCTTTACACCGAAGCGCAGCAAGGGCGAGCTGCTAGTAGCGTATAATCGCTTGCAATTCCAAAAGTATCACTCGCACCGTTGCCTACCCTGATCCGATCCCGTGTTGCCTACCCCGCGGAGCGTTGGACCTTATTCTCATCGATAGAAACACAACACCGCCAAAATGTAGTGTTAATTTATTGTGATCTTCTGTAAGGTTAGGTACTTCCCCAAACGACCGCTTCAATTTGAACGAAACATTCGGTATGCTCTACCTTTTTACCATGTACCACCAGCACTTATTATGACCCCACCACTAACAACAACGCATCAACGTCTTAAATATTATGAACACAACTCGCAAAAGGAACTCGTTCCTCTGACGTGTCCCTCTGCACAAAATAAAAGTTGTCCAAACATGTTTCGTTTTATAAAACGGTGTGAGCGGAGTGGAGCGCCACGAGCCTCATACTTTCCATTTTCGTAAATGATCATTCATGAATCAACACCGAGCTTACAAGGTATGCCTCATTATAGTCTTCCTTTTCTTCATCATTCTGTCTGGCTGACAGTGACATAAACACAACAATAACCAGATTAATAATGTTCAGAATCGGAATTTTATTTGTGAAACGTAGGTCTGTTTACATGTTGAATTTAATGTGTAATGCCGGCACTTCATTGGCTATTCATATTTGTTATTTGTAAACTTGATATTAGTCTGTCTTTTTCACTGCTTATAAAGCGAGATAAAGACAGACCGTTGTCAACTTTGTGTTGCCGGCCATCTGACTGTGATGTAGTAAAGTGTGTGATATTGATAGGAGCAAGGGCGGATCCAGGGGGGTCATGGGGGTCATGCCCCTCTCCCCTCCCCTGGGCTGGGTCCGTCTGTACCCACTTCACAATCTGTACCCACTGTGACTCGACCACGATTATATGCCCCCCCCTGGCGCCAAAGCTGGATCCGCCCTTGGATAGGAGTGTGATGGTATCGTATCGCATAGTGACCGGTGGCGAGCGCCAGCACGTTGTCGCCGGTCCGCTGCAGCACGGGCAGCGGCACGCGGGCCGCATCGTCGAGCCGCGTGTGGTACACGTAGCCGTCGGAGAGTGTGTGTCATATTGATAGGAGTGTGATGGTATCGTATCGCATAGTGACCGGTGGCGAGCGCCAGCACGTTGTCGCCGGTCCGCTGCAGCACGGGCAGCGGCACGCGGGCCGCATCGTCGAGCCGCGTGTGGTACACGTAGCCGTCGGAGAGTGTGTGTCATATTGATAGGAGTGTGATGGTATCGTATCGCATAGTGACCGGTGGCGAGCGCCAGCACGTTGTCGCCGGTCCGCTGCAGCACGGGCAGCGGCACGCGGGCCGCATCGTCGAGCCGCGTGTGGTACACGTAGCCGTCGGAGAGTGTGTGTCATATTGATAGGAGTGTGATGGTATCGTATCGCATAGTGACCGGTGGCGAGCGCCAGCACGTTGTCGCCGGTCCGCTGCAGCACGGGCAGCGGCACGCGGGCCGCATCGTCGAGCCGCGTGTGGTACACGTAGCCGTCGGAGAGTGTGTGTCATATTGATAGGAGTGTGATGGTATCGTATCGCATAGTGACCGGTGGCGAGCGCCAGCACGTTGTCGCCGGTCCGCTGCAGCACGGGCAGCGGCACGCGGGGCCGCATCGTCGAGCCGCGTGTGGTACACGTAGCCGTCGGAGAGTGTGTGTCATATTGATAGGAGTGTGATGGTATCGTATCGCATAGTGACCGGTGGCGAGCGCCAGCACGTTGTCGCCGGTCCGCTGCAGCACGGGCAGCGGCACGCGGGCCGCATCGTCGAGCCGCGTGTGGTACACGTAGCCGTCGGAGAGTGTGTGTCATATTGATAGGAGTGTGATGGTATCGTATCGCATAGTGACCGGTGGCGAGCGCCAGCACGTTGTCGCCGGTCCGCTGCAGCACGGGCAGCGGCACGCGGGCCGCATCGTCGAGCCGCGTGTGGTACACGTAGCCGTCGGAGAGTGTGTGTCATATTGATAGGAGTGTGATGGTATCGTATCGCATAGTGACCGGTGGCGAGCGCCAGCACGTTGTCGCCGGTCCGCTGCAGCACGGGCAGCGGCACGCGGGCCGCATCGTCGAGCCGCGTGTGGTACACGTAGCCGTCGGAGAGTGTGTGTCATATTGATAGGAGTGTGATGGTATCGTATCGCATAGTGACCGGTGGCGAGCGCCAGCACGTTGTCGCCGGTCCGCTGCAGCACGGGCAGCGGCACGCGGGCCGCATCGTCGAGCCGCGTGTGGTACACGTAGCCGTCGGAGAGTGTGTGTCATATTGATAGGAGTGTGATGGTATCGTATCGCATAGTGACCGGTGGCGAGCGCCAGCACGTTGTCGCCGGTCCGCTGCAGCACGGGCAGCGGCACGCGGGCCGCATCGTCGAGCCGCGTGTGGTACACGTAGCCGTCGGAGAGTGTGTGTCATATTGATAGGAGTGTGATGGTATCGTATCGCATAGTGACCGGTGGCGAGCGCCAGCACGTTGTCGCCGGTCCGCTGCAGCACGGGCAGCGGCACGCGGGCCGCATCGTCGTCGAGCCGCGTGTGGTACACGTAGCCGTCGGAGAGTGTGTGTCATATTGATAGGAGTGTGATGGTATCGTATCGCATAGTGACCGGTGGCGAGCGCCAGCACGTTGTCGCCGGTCCGCTGCAGCACGGGCAGCGGCACGCGGGCCGCATCGTCGAGCCGCGTGTGGTACACGTAGCCGTCGGAGAGTGTGTGTCATATTGATAGGAGTGTGATGGTATCGTATCGCATAGTGACCGGTGGCGAGCGCCAGCACGTTGTCGCCGGTCCGCTGCAGCACGGGCAGCGGCACGCGGGCCGCATCGTCGAGCCGCGTGTGGTACACGTAGCCGTCGGAGAGTGTGTGTCATATTGATAGGAGTGTGATGGTATCGTATCGCATAGTGACCGGTGGCGAGCGCCAGCACGTTGTCGCCGGTCCGCTGCAGCACGGGCAGCGGCACGCGGGCCGCATCGTCGAGCCGCGTGTGGTACACGTAGCCGTCGGAGCTCCACGCCAGGTCCACGCCTGAGTTTACAAACACTCATTAGGTTTACAATGATTTATTTGCCGTGAATAGGGTAGACTACATTAGATGGGTTGGTCATCCAAAGCGATCAGAATCAGTAACTCTATCCCCTGTTTTTTTTTTCAGGAGCGTTTTCCTCACACACGGTTTAATTAAAGATGAACACTAAACAAAATGTCGAAGCAAATACATTATCAATGAAATTAACAGTAAGATTCCAATAATAATAAAATGTCAAAACCAATACATTATAATGTATATTTTGAAAATTAGCTAAGAAACTGACGGAGTGATTATAACCCGCATGCGCTGCGGTCAAGAGCAGATTGGTTTTATTTCTAAACTGCACGCAGATAAATAAATAATAATAATTTGTTTCCAAAATTTGTTTCCAATTATTTAATGACCTGCAATATTTTTTCGTAAGTGTTTTTAACCATGACGTTATTTTCATTTTACATTTATAAATAGTTAGAGGATATATGTTAAGTTTTATTTATTTTATTATAGATTAGGGGTCCTAGATAGCGTTGCCAGGTCGCTAAATATATAAGCCGGACAGACGAGCCAGTGATTCCGGACATTTGGGTAAAAACCACTGACACCCATTTTTAAGGATTTTGTCGCTCAGTAATATTAGGTACGACAAAAAAAAGCGAGTGTGCTTACAACCACACGACTGAAGTGAAACTCCTTTAGCTCCGTCTATATGTATATATGTGACCGGTGACACTTTTCGTAACGCCGTAACGCGTAACTCGTAACGCATTCGCCAGTTTACCCCCCCCCCCCCCCCAAGTCAAGCGTGCTTAAAGAAGTTTCACTTCAAAAATTGTATGTTAAAGCGACCGAAAGTCAACTTGCTTGCCACACTCGGCGCTTGCTCGTTTGCGAAATGTAAAAAAATAATGTAAAAATGTAATGTCTAGTGTCCGGACACCGTTTAGTTTGGCCGCCAAGTCATCAAAAGGCCTAACTACCGGCTTTATCCGGACGCCTGGCAACGCTACACGCAGGTCACAGTTATTGCGGGCCCGCACCCGCCGCAACTGCGAGATCTCGTAAACTTTACTAATTAAGATCGGACGAAGCCCGCAGGTTGTAAAACAACCGTGCAGTCAGCGAGTGTAAATCGCACGGTGAAATTAGCTTTTGCATATTACCTACACTTTGCGAGTTGCAATCACCTCTTTCTTTCTCTATGAAACATGATATACAGGGTGTTACAAAAATACAAATAAAGCTTAAAGGGCGTTCGAGTACATCATATAAGGAGTCTTCTCTAATTTTCTCAAAATATTTGCATGAAGTTTTATTTTTTTATAAAAACAGTTATTTTTAATGATCAATAAAAATATCGATCATTTTAGACACGTCAAGAGTTCGAGGATCATTAAAAATAATTGTTTTTATAAAAGTAATACCCTGATAGCTAGTCACTACAAATTGTTGTCAGTGTTAAGTTGAGTCAGTGATGCCAGAATCAAGTTTCTCACCGGACAGCTGTCCGAAGTCGCGGAAGATGCGGAAGTCTGTGTCGGCGGGGATGATGCCGCTCTGGAACATCTCCTGCGCCAGCGACGACGCGAACGGGTGCGGCACCGCGCGCGCGTACACCTGCGGCACCATCATATGCCATACTATGTACGCGGTACGCACAATTTAAGTATTGCTCTCACATAAATTTAGATGCATACAACGAGATATGCCATGATGTTGACATCTTTCATGCTCCACTCAAAGCCCTCAAAAATCAACTGTATAGTAACGTTCAAAACGAACAGTAATTTTTGGAGTTTACTCCTTAAGAATCGATTTGTATATATAAGGGGCCCGGTATGAGAAAACTGTGAGGAATGAAATCTATCGATGAATGACCTCGTTACGTTTTTACTGTCTACGCTGTAGCAGCCGCAGTGCTACACCGTAGCACAGTATCGTAGCGTACCTTTATTTATGCACATCTGAAATTGACTATTGTAAAAAGTTTAAAGTAAAAAAAAATGGTTGCCTGTAAAGTCGGTTTTACGGGCGAAGATTTTACGTGACAACGTCTTTTTCTCGGTAGAATATTTATTGATATGAATATAATTAAATTGCACAATAGGAACAAGGAATTGAATGAAAATAAGAATTGCACAAATTTTAACTATAGAAATATATTTTGTTTACTAAAACATTGTACATGTAAACTTAAACTTAACACGAGAGACTCATCGTAACGTTACCGAGCGTTACACTTTTTCATAAGTGACTCCCAGCCGCAACCTAATTTAAGACGTTGTCACGTCAAAAAATATTTCGTCGATTAGTTATAATAAATGTATATGAAATGAATAAATATATATTTATATTATTTTCATTAATTTGTTAATTTACCCTTTCATACAGTATCAATCTTTTTTAAGTTAAATAAACTCTTTTTGCGTCTGGTTAGACTATCGAACTTAAGAAGTAAACTCCAGTCGTGCGTCGGAGCTGACACACACAATTTTTTTCTGTTAAAAGTATAAGTAAGTACCTACCTACATATAGTCAATGTTGTACATGCCTGCAATGGCAATTCACACGGTTCTTCTTTATTGAAATTTGTGAAATTGTCGATGGTACGAGTATGTCAAATAAATAAATGGCAGGCAACCCACTCAACTCGGAGGAGGCAGGAAACGACGACGCCGTCGGCTGCGATCAAGTCGGTCAACTTTCCCAATGGTCGGTCATTGGATCAGTGACTAAAATTTTAAGACTTGAGCTCCTCCGTGCTTTGGAAGGCACCTTAAGGGTGCGGCCAGAGTGCACTCAGATTCAGATTCAGATTCTGAAAACAAGCGCGAGAAATAATCAGTGTAGTCTAAGCAGGTTGCCTGCTTTTTCTCGCGCTTTGTTTTCTGAGTCTGAATCTGAATCAGGAGTGCACTCTGGCCGTACCCTTCGACTACACTGTTTATTTCTCGCGCTTGTTTTCGGAATCTGAATCTGAATCTGAGTGCACTCTTGCCGCACCCTAAGCCGTTAGTCCCGGCTGTATCTGCAGTCGTTAGCGATCCGCACTGGCCCCGCGTGATAGGTCGTGGCCCAATCCCCCTATTCCATCTATAAGAGAGGCCTGTGCCCCAGCAGAGGGGATATTAATAGTTTAATGATGATGATAGACCCAATCATATAATATTAGCTGTAACCGAAGCATCAAACTCTTCGCGATAGTGTGGCTACATACATGGTGTAAGTGCGTCCCTACGTTTTAGTGGGCGTTTCCCCCTCGAAACGGATTCGTCAATAAATAATTACATTTATAGTGTTTCGGAACAGTTGAATAGGTGTATGTAGTATTTACTTTTTATAGCACGCGCCCTGAACCCCCCGCCCATCTGTAATGATATAGTAGCGGGATCCCAACCTCCACGATACAGGGGTCCCTGGGGGCGGCCTGGAATATGACCTCACGCCCGCACGCGCTCCGTCCCCACCCATCTGTAATTATATGGTAGCGGGGTCCCACCTCCACAATCTAGGGGTCCCTGGGGCCGGCCTGAAACATGACCTCGCGCCCCTCTGTTATGATATGATAACGGGGTCCCACCTCCACGATCCAGGGGTCCCTGAGGCCGGCCTGGAACATGACCTCGCGCCCGCCCGCGCCTCTGTAATGATATGGTAGTGGGGTCCCACCTCCACGAACCAGGGGTCCCTGAGGCCGGCCTGGAACATGACCTCGAGCCCGCCCGCGCCTCTCTGTAATGATATGGTAGTGGGGTCCCACCTCCACGAACCAGGGGTCCCTGAGGCCGGCCTGGAACATGACCTCGCGCCCGCCCGCGCCCATCTGTAATGATATGGTAGTGGGGTCCCACCTCCACGATCCAGGGGTCCCTGGGGCCATCCTGGAACATGACCTCGCGCCCGCCCGCGCCCATCTGTAATGATATGGTAGTGGGGTCCCACCTCCACGATCCAGGGGTCCCTGGGTCCGGCCTGGAACATGACCTCGCGCCCGCCCGCGCCCATCTGTAATGATATGGTAGTGGGGTCCCACCTCCACGATCCAGGGGTCCCTGGGGCCAGCCTGGAACATGACCTCGCGCCCGCCCGCGCCCATCTGTAATGATATGGTAGTGGGGTCCCACCTCCACGATCCAGGGGTCCCTGGGGCCGGCCTGGAACATGACCTCGCGCCCGCCCGCGCCGCACGCCTCGATGTTGATGAACGCGCGCACCGACTTCGCCCATCTGCATTAAAAACATAATACATAACCATCCAATATCTCTTATCTATTAGACAAGTCCGTCCGTCTGTCTGTGGTGCTGTTTCAGCGGCCAAACCGTAAGAGATAGATAAAGAGAATATTTAAGTTATAAGTTAAGAATAGTCTGATAAGACTACAAACCGGATTTGAGTAACGTAGCACTTCCGGTTTTCGAGAAATCACGAATTTCAAACGAAACCACACAAAATCTCCGAAGTTCTCAATTAATTAAATACATTTTTATTTAATTTTTTTAAATCAGGTTTTGGTGAAAATTTGGTTCACTGGTTTGCTAGTTACACACTAACAGAGGTGCCTTGCGGTTTTACCCGCATTCATTCGAGGGAAAAGTTTATAGTGGCCACCCTTAAAAGATGGACATATGCTGTTTCACGGACTTTTTTATGGAACTTTTAAAGGGGAACACATCTGCTAAACATTATTCTCGTGCAAATTTTTTTCCGTCTTTGCATCATTTTTTATTGGTGCTCCGCTCATACAAGTCGTAGCGATATGTTATATAGTCTATAGCCTTCCTCAATATACGCGCTATCCAACACAAAAAGAATAATTAAAATCGTAAATCCTGATTATCACATTCGACTAAAGAAACAAACTCTTCAGTTTTATATGAGTACAGATGTAAAATAAACTATAATTATTTATGATTGGCAGCAAATTTATTGTTTTAACAAAGAAAAATTAGGCAGCAGACGGGACTCGAACCCTCGCAACCTTCGCTATCCGAGCGAATGCACTGACCATTATGCTACCGCGGCCCTGACGGCCGTGTTGGATTTTGTTTCTTCTCTAGCCTTAGGCTGCAAGGCTTCGCATTGTAGGTAACCCATAATGTCAAATGAATACCTTTACAAGTATTAAACATTTGAAAGAAGAAATAGCAATTACAGTTACGTTTTTATTTTTTTAAGCATTTAACTGCTAGGTGTTTAAATCCAAAGAAAAGTTTACTAAAAAAAATTTCACGCAGACCAGGCAACAGATTTGTACATATTTCATCGCCTATGAGTTTTCTAGCACGTCTGTAAATAGCTTTCAAGCTGGTAGTGGGCGGATCTGTTCCAAAGGTGGAAGCAGTACTCCATGCACGATAACCACGTACGAAAGCAGACCCTGTCTACGTCTCGTAGTCCGATGATAAAAAGGCTGAAATAGGTTTATGCATGCGTGCATGATGTTCTCTCGGCCCCGTTGAGCAGCAGGATGACGTCATGCCGCAGGGGCCGCGTGTGTGGTGAGGCAGTAGTGTGCCTACTTGTGGTGCGTGATGAAGGCGTGGGAGGCCTGCATGATGTTCTCCTCGGCCCCGTTGAGCAGCAGGATGACGTCATGCCGCAGGGGCCGCGTGTGTGGTGAGGCAGTAGTGTGCCTACTTGTGGTGCGTGATGAAGGCGTGGGAGGCCTGCATGATGTTCTCCTCGGCCCCGTTGAGCAGCAGGATGACGTCATGCCGCAGGGGCCGCGTGTGTGGTGAGGCAGTAGTGTGCCTACTTGTGGTGCGTGATGAAGGCGTGGGAGGCCTGCATGATGTTCTCCTCGGCCCCGTTGAGCAGGATGACGTCATGCCGCAGGGGCCGCGTGTGTGGTGAGGCAGTAGTGTGCCTACTTGTGGTGCGTGATGAAGGCGTGGGAGGCCTGCATGATGTTCTCCTCGGCCCCGTTGAGCAGCAGGATGACGTCATGCCGCAGGGGCCGCGTGTGTGGTGAGGCAGTAGTGTGCCTACTTGTGGTGCGTGATGAAGGCGTGGGAGGCCTGCATGATGTTCTCCTCGGCCCGTTGAGCAGCAGGATGACGTCATGCCGCAGGGGCCGCGTGTGTGGTGAGGCAGTAGTGTGCCTACTTGTGGTGCGTGATGAAGGCGTGGGAGGCCTGCATGATGTTCTCCTCGGCCCCGTTGAGCAGCAGGATGACGTCATGCCGCAGGGGCCGCGTGTGTGGTGAGGCAGTAGTGTGCCTACTTGTGGTGCGTGATGAAGGCGTGGGAGGCCTGCATGATGTTCTCCTCGGCCCCGTTGAGCAGCAGGATGACGTCATGCCGCAGGGGCCGCGGGGCAGCCACGAGCGCCCGCAGAGTCTCCAGTCCCACCGCGCAGCCCGCCGCGTCGTCGCTCGCGCCTGAATCACAAAGTTACAAACGCATTATTTACTGGAGCCGATACAAGCCCTCGATCTACCCGCGATATGATATAAGACTCGTTATTATCCCGCTCAATTGTTAAATCACTATGGAGTTTGACAGTTAGACGCGATATAATGCAAATCGTGGTGCTAATGCTACGGAGACAGAGTTATTATATGACCAAAGGGAGTTGTAATATAATGTTACTTTATTAATTAATAACAATATTTTTTTCTGCAAATTGTTTTCACTTTCGACGGTCACGTTAAGCTTTGTTTGGATTTAATTAAATTCTCTTCTTCATTGAAATAATATATATGAAATTGCATTCTCAATCGATTGTCTTATCGATCGTTTTTTTTAATTCGAATTAGAAGCATAATACAACTCTTTTGAATCATATATTTTTTTGTTAAGGGAAATTTTAGTTGAGTAAGAAAACGGGCGAAAATACTTCACAGTATTAAATTATGTAAGTAACAATATTTACAAAATATTATATTGTTATTACAGTGTCAATACAAAATCAATTAATAAGATACATTAATTCAACTGCAATTACGTCGACTAGCATTTTGATTGCTCTGTCATGCAGCACTTGAAATTCAAGAAAAAAACAAAGTGTCTGTTTGTCTGTCACCAGGCTGTATCTCATGAACAGTGATAGCTAGACACTTGAAATGTTCACCGAACATGTATTTCTGTTGCCAGTATATAACAACAACAGCATACAACAGACGTGAAGATTTCCGTTTCTTGATCGATAGTAAAATATCTCTTATCTAATAGACAAGTCCGTCCGTCCGTCCGTGGTGCTGTTTCAGCGGCCAAACCGTAAGAGATAGATATAGAGAATGTTTAAGTTATAAGTTAAGAATAGTTTGATAAGACTACAAACCGGATGTGAGTAACGTAGCACTTCCGGTTTTCGAGAAATTTTCTTTTTTTTTTGGTGAACATTTGGTTTACTGGTTTGCTAGTAGTGTCTAATAAAATAAATAATAAATAAACATACATATTTCCAACACTCACACCAATTAGACTAGCCCCAAAGTAAGCACTGTAAAGCTTGTGTTATGGGATACTAGGGTAACGGATAGAATACATATACTGTACATATATAAGTATATTTATATAGAAATACATATTAAACATCCATGACTGGAGTACAAATGCTCGTATTCATCACACAAACATCTGCCCCCACCGGGAACCCAGGACCTCTCGAGTCGGCGACACCATGAAACCCGGCGTACAAACCACTCGGCCACGGAGGTCCTCATGTAAAGATAATGGTTCCGAACCCTTCGTGTGCGAGTCCGACTCGCACTTGGCCGGTTTTTACTTCATTATTATTCATTCACTCTGTACGACGTAAATAAACTTGACGCCAGTGGGTCAATTATGCTTCAGTAATAAAATTCTAATGTGATGTCAATATGATGTTGATGCCAAGTTGACATTGTTTTTATATGGTATTATGAAACATTCCTATGTCACATCAAGATCATATCAATATCATATCCTGTATCACATTTTTGACGTTTATGCGATACTATTTTAAGTCAAAAAGTTGAACGTAATACGCATTTAAGTTGATATCATTTTATAGAGTTGATCATCATCATAGCATAAGTTGATGTCATTTTGATATCGCATTTTTCGGAGAGCATAATACGTAATGTGAAATAGACATCAAAACAATATCACAATTAGCGAGCATAATTGGCCTGCAGGATCTAAATGGCGAATCAATATCTCGTTAAATAGCACATTCCTTATCTATTTGTGATACTTTTAAGTAATTGGTGCTTTAGCTGACGCAATCAATCTCAGTTGACCGGCCAGCGAGCAGCGGGCACCCGCGGGAATACGCGCCTCTCTCATTCCACACTCGTTCGAGCTTATTAGATTCATTACTTCATATACCATTCCCGCCATGATTTCATCACAGATAATTTAAAATACTCGTCACACAGAACATCTTCCACAGTATTGAAGAAACAATGCTTTCTTGACGCCTGGGTAATAATAGCTATATTTGATAAAATAAAAAATTATAACGTTAGAAATTGTAGTCTAATTACAATAATAAATAACAGTTAACATGTCTGCTAGTTTGAGATATAACAACCTTAAGTTTCTTAAACAAAAAAGATAAATCAATAGGTTGCTAAATTACGCATTATTGCAGTATTTGGAATTTCAGTACGAATTTAAATAATGCTTCATCATCATCATCAGCCTATTAATGTCCCAACTGCTGGGGCACAGGCCTTCCCTACGGATGAAATAGGGAGATTGGACCATGACCCACCACGCGGGCCCAGTGCGGATTGGCGGGTGCTAACGACTGCAGATGTAGCCGGGACCAACGGCTTAACGTGCCTTCCGAAGCACGGAGGAACTCGAGATAGAAGATTTTTGGTCACCCATCCAATGACCGACCACTGCGAAAGTTGCTTAAATTCAACGATCGCAGCCGAACGCGCTAACCACTTGCGCCATCGAGCTCCTCAAATAATGCTTAATGTGACTTAAAATCTCATACTAACATATAAAATATCGATATCAAATACTCATTAAAATTTGTTCACAACTAACGGACAACAAAAAAAAACCATAAACCGGTGGCAATAAGTACCGTCCCCGTTTATGAAGTCGGTAAAAATGCGTGAAATGCACCGTGCGTGACCGATAGGACGGGGTCGCGTCATCGCGCGAACACAAACAACACAAAGTACACTACCCACACTCTATTTATGTTCATTACCATGAAACCGGAATTATAGGATAGGTGAGAGAACAGCTAACCGCAGTAACTAGACGGTCTACCTATACTACACATACGAGTTTATCGCTCGTTACTTTTTTTTTCTCTTTATTTTAGCAGCAAACAGTCGTTTACAGGTATATTACATAATAATACATCAGTTATGAGTTAGGACATATAGTGCCGAAAAGTGATATTTACAATATTTTTTCTATGGTCGCAGTTACTTCCTCTACAGACCGACAAGGATCCCCACCAATTCTCAAACTCAAACTCATTTATTCAGTCTAGGCTGTTACAAGCTCTTGTGAAAGTCAAACGCTACGCCATCGGTTCGTAAATCTACGGCGGGAGACCTTGTACTGAGAAGAACCGGCAAGAAACTCAGCAATGGCTATTTTTTTCTCCCTGTTTTGTTTCAAACAGTGTCGTCAATTGAAAGATGACATCAAAAATTTAAAACATGTGTTGATGTCAACTTCCATCACATTAATATTATTAATTAACAAAAGTAAAGTATAGTTAGGAACTACTTTTAAATTTAGAAGTGGCGATTAAACAATTTTCAATCAACTCAGCAAAGGAAAACGACTTAGTCTGTTATATTAAGTCCAATGCGAACGAAAATCGTAACTATCGCCGCCACCGCCACACAAATGTTATATTTTTTTTGTATGTCGTTTACGCAGACAGCGCCCCCCCCCCCCCCCCCCGGACCGTCACACACACTCACAAAGATCCTCGTCGTACCGTAGTGTACATTAAGAAAAGTGAATGAGAAAAATATAACAAGGTCTAACTATTCTGCAGCCTTAATACAAAAACAAACAGTGAATTTATTAATATCTTAATTTTATCTTCAGTTGTTGCTTAAAAGATTTTAAAGAATTGTGGAAAATGTCAATATCGTGGAATAACCTATTATAAGTGTTGGTGGAACGTAATACCATACGTTTATTTTTATTTTACAAGGCTCCTACAGTAAACCCTATTTTTATGTTAAAGAAAACAAACATATAATGGCGCCTGATGGCAAGCGGCCCTCATCTCTTATCTATTAGACAAGTCCGTCCGTCTGTGGTGCTGTTTCAGCGGCTAAACCGTAAGAGATAGATAAAGAGAATATTTAAGTTATAAGTTAAGAATAGTCTGATAAGACTACAAACCGGATTTGAGTAACGTAGCACTTCCGGTTTTCGAGAAATCACGAACCACACAAAATCTCTGAAGTTCTCAATTAATTAAATACATTTTTTTTTTAATCAGGTTTTGGTGAACATTTGGTTCACTGGTTTGCTAGTAACCTATATTAGCCTACCCTGGCCCCGTCCCCTACCCCTTGAAGCCCTGAAACCTTACTCACCGACCGACTAAATCACAACACCACCAGAAGGTTTTTCTCAAGGTGGATGTTGCTTCTCCAGGCGGGAGCTCAAATTCGTCCTTCCTCTTTTAGACTCACGAATTAAACTCCATATGAATGTAATGCAGGTGTGTATAATGAATTAAGACATTTCATATGTAAGGGGCGGCGGAAGGGTGCCCACAAACGTGGTTTTTCAATCAAACTAAAAGGGCACGTGGAACGGTTATGGTACGATACTATATTTGTGGTTTAGAAGGAACAGGGGTGATAACGGGGTAGGTATATTAGACGAAATTATGTTTAGTCCGTCAATTAGATTGTCAAAAAAAGAATGTAAAATATTATTTCTTTTCACTCGATCAGTCAAAAAAATACAAAGATAACGCGCGTCAAAGTTTGGGAGTGGAGGCTCGAGACACCACTCCGTAAAAATTGTATCAAGACGTGACGTCATGCAACAACATTTGAAATCAATATATCTCTGAAATGTTTTAATTATGTGAATAAAGAAAAAATACGTATGAAATACTTTTTGATAATATACCTGTTAGAAGAAGAAAAAGTTAGTCATTATATACTAAGCTAAGTGTCTGGTATATTACGTCGACGGGTTGAAGTAAATCTGCTTCTGTTAGGTATGAACACCAGCCTCTTTATTAATAAACAAGGAAGAAGCTTAGGCTAGGTACACCTTGTTTTGTTCATGTCACTCAAATGCCATTTGTCACTCAATAAACAGATACAAAACATGGAGTAACTAATCCAAGCGTAGTCTTAGTTTATTAATAAGGTAGCAGGAGTACAGGAGTTCTGTGATGTGATCCGTAATCATCATGACTATAAGCGACCAACTCTTT